AAACAGGACATATAGCCTTTTAGTTGGTGCCAGCAGGGTGCTTAAACTTTTGCTCAAGGTTACCAATGCCTATCCGGTAATGTATTGGCCACAATATTTTCTTTCATAGGGCTAAAAGTATGGTAAACTTTTAGCTTTTAGCTCAGGAGTAGACCTTTAAGCTGTCCTAATCTCTTAGCTAATGATAGCTGAGTTATTTGTTCAGGACAGGGAGGTGGGCTGAGGGCTGTTGACCAAGATGCTTTCCCACAGAGCAAGGCACCTAAACTTTTGATCTGGCCACTTTTCTCTTGCAGGCCTGCAATGTTCTGCAAGACAGGGATATCAGAGCTGCTGTTTTCAGTGTCCCTCCCTTTAGCAGAGAACATAGCCTGGACTTAAAAAGTTTTAGGCTCATCTCACCCTAGGGCATGCCATCCTGGTTTCCTACAAGCCATCTCTCTGGTCCTAGAAATTTTATTTTTAAAAATGAAAGTGAAAGTTAAGGATTGAAGAATGCAGTGACTGATACCAAGTACTTGGTGACTGGGTTGCACAACCTGCAGTCATTATGAGATCTTTGGAATGCACCTGTGAAGTTTGGAGAGGCCAGGGCCTGCAGGCTTTGCATACACTCAGGCCTAAGAGAGAGCTGTCCTCTCCAGGGTCCTCTCAAGAGAAGGTTGTGAGCATACATCCACACTTAGGGGGCACATGACCCCATGGTCAGACCTAAGACAATGACCATAGAGAAGGCTTACATTAGTTACTTTTCTGTTGCTGTGATAAAATTCCATGCACTTGGGAGGTATATGCAGGCAGTTCTTTGTGAGTTCAAGGCCAGCCTGGTCTACATAGTGAGTTCCAGGTCAGCTGGGGCTACAGGGACCAGTAGACAAAAAGACAAAACAACAACAACAACAAAAAACCTTGACCAAGGTAACTTGTAGAAAGAAGAGTTTATTAGGCTTATTGTTTTAGAGGAATAAGAGTCCATCATGGCAGAAAGGCATGGCAGGAGGCAGCCAGAGCAGAAGGCTGAGAGCTCATATCTTCAAGCAGGCACAGGCAGCAAAGAGTGGCAGATTGGAAATGGGAGGGGGCATCGACTCTCACAGCCCACCCCCAGTGACATGTGTCCCCCAGCATGGTCACACCTCCTAAAGGTTCCATGACCCTTCCAAAACAGTGCCACAAAATAGGGACCAAATGTTCAAATACTTGGAGCCTATGGGAAACATTCTCATTAGAACCACTACAGGGCTCAAATAAGCAGATAAACTAATGGACATCAGCCTCTGACCTCCACACATGCACCTACACACAAACAAGTATACATATACACACACCAAAAAATATAAAGAAACCCAGTGTGGTGGCACACACCTTTAATCCTAGCACTCACTCAGGAGGTAGAAGCAGATAGATCTCTGTGAGTTCAAGGTTAACCTGGTTTACATAGTGAGCTCCAGACCAACCAGTGCTATGAAATGAGACCCTGTCTCAGTAATAAATACAAATATACAGGTACAGGAAAGAGTTCAAAACATCATAAATTATAAGTTCAAAGTAAAATTTTATTACAGCATAAATTTTCTCTAAGAATACATGCATAGGCAGATACCTACAGACCTAAGATTACCTACAGCCTCTGTCCCACTTCCTGAACCAAAGGAGACTATGATTCGGTTTCACCACACAGCCAGTAATACTAGCACTCAAGAAGCAGAGGCAAAAGAATCAGGGAGATTAGGAGTTCAGGGTATAAGTGTTTCATAAATTAGACGTTGTTATTCAATTTTTTAGAAATAGAAGGTAATTCAATGTGTTTCACTATTTTTCATTTTAGTTCAACATGTGAAATACAATTGCAAGCTTGTTTCAGTTGTATATTTCTAATAAATTACCCAAGCCCTTAGTAGATTAAAATACAGCTGACTTATTATTTCTTAAAATCCTATTCATTGATTCAAGCTCACCTGGGTAGTTTTTTAATATAATAATTCTTTAAATGCAAATCTTACATAAATTTGTGACACATTTATTTACAGGTGCTCGAGGAGGAGCTGGAGAGATGGCTCAGAGGTTAAGAGCACTGACTGCTCTTGCAAAAAACCTCAATTTGGTTCCCAACATTCACATGCCAGCTACAGCCATCCATAACTTCAGTTCCAGGGGATATGACACCCCCTTCTGGCCTGCATAGGCACTGCATGCACATGGTGCACTTACATCCATGCAGGCAAAACATTCATGCACACAAAATGAAAATAAATTTTAAAAATCTGCTAAAGAAGCCGGGTGTGGTGGCTCACGCCTGTAGTCCCAGTGCTTGGGAGGCAGAGGCAGGCGAATCTCTGTGAGTTCAAGGCCAGCCTGGTCTACATAGTGAGTTCCAGGACAGCTCTGACTACAGGGAGACCCTGTCTCAAAAAGACCAAAAAAAAATCTGCTAAAGGTGATCTGAGGAAAATTAAAGAGGCACGGAAATGTGTTTATAAAATACAAAGTAGAGGGAAGAGTTTCGGCATTGATTACTAGTACAATGATCCAGGTCCAGTACACTCTATTGTGCAATCAAAGGTCTTTAGTGATGAGGTTCTTTTGTGCTTCCTTCATTTCCATCTCTGTTGTAGAAACAGTCATGGAAAAAGCTCACTTTAAATACAGTAAAAAGCAAGGCATAGTGGTGTACACCTTTAATCCCAGCACTCAGGAGGCAGAGGTCAACCTGGTCTACATAGCGAGTTACAGGCCAGCTGTGGCTACAGGGAGACCCTGTCTCAAAAAGACCAATAAACTAACTAAATAAATAAATAAATAATAAATAAATAATAAATAAATAAATAAATAAATAAATAGGAAACTGAATAAATGGCTTAGTAGTTAAGAACACTGACTGCTCTTGCAGAGGGCCCAGGGTCAGTTCCCAGCACCCATATGGTGGCTCACAACTGTCTGCAACTGCAGTTCCAGGGGATCCAATACCATGTTTGGGCCTCCATAGGCATCAAGTATTCGTGTGGTGCACATACATAAATTAGGCAAAATATTCATACACATAAAATAAAAATAGACCAAAAAATTTTTAATAAAAAATAGCTTAAAAATTCTCTCAGAGCTATGTTAATTGTTCTCTTGGATTCAAACTTGCAAATTTAATAACGCATAAAACCAAGTCTGCATAAAAGCTTGAATTTGGATATGACCAGAAAATGAAAGGCTCAGTTGCACTCTGGTGGTCACATTGTGATGGTGGCTGGCATCTAGTGTATGATCTCCCTCATATATGAAATCTTTAAAAGTTAATCTCTGCACATTGGCCAATTGTGGGTTTCTGTGTTAATCACCATCTTCTACAAAAGGAAACTTCTCTGTGAGAGTTAAGAGATGCATTTGTCCTATGTGTAGAGGTTGCATTAAAGATGTGTCTCTTAGGGTTAAGCATCTCAAAGACACTTTATTCTCTGCATTTGACCAGTTCTGGAACTCTGTAATAGTCTCCATCTGCTGCAAAAAGAATCTTCTTTGATGGGGGGGGGGGGGGTGGGGTGACAGCATGCACAAGTCCTGTACAAGCTCAAATCAGACATAGACACAGGGAAGTTGGGTAAGAAATCCCAACCCAACCTAAGAAACTTTTGGCAACTGACAGCTTCTAGGAGGGGGAGAGACAGTGTCTTGCAGGGATGGGACTCTTCGTGGGTCCCAGCACTTGGGAGTCAGAGGCAGGCGGATCTCTGTGAATTCAAGGCCAGCCTGGTCTACATAGTTCCAGGCCAGCTGGGGCTACAGGGAGACCCTGTCTCAAAAAGACCAAAAAAAAAAAAAAATGAATACATTAAGTTGGGAAGAAGGTGGGGGAGGGTGCAGAGAAGGGAGGAGATCTAGGTACCATTAAACTATATTGTATGAAAATCACAAAAATCCAATTTTTAAAAAAGTGGTGGTTACAAGGAGCTGGGTGTTAGGGGAAATAGAGAGATGTTGGTAAATGAAAATTTTCAGTTGAATGATAAGTTCTAGAGATCCAATGCACATCATGGTGATTATAGATAATAATATTATATACCTGAAATTTTTTTGGTCTTTTTTGAGACAGCATCTCCCTGTAGCTTCAGCTAGCCTGGAACTCACTATGTAAACCAAGCTAGCCTTGAAGTCACAGAGATCCACCTGCCTCTGCCTCCCAAGTGCTGAGATTAAAAGCATGTGCCACCATGCCGGGCTCCTGAAATTTTTTGAGAGAGATCTTAAATGTTCTTTCTACAGGGCTGGAGAGATGATTCAGTGGTTAAAATCACTGGCTGCTCTTTCAGAGGACCCGGGTTCAGTTCCCAGCATCCATATGGTGGCTAACAACCATCTGTAACTCCAGTTCCAGGGTCACAAAATTTAAAAAAAATAATAAATAAATAAATAAATAGTTTAGCTGTCCTTTCTATACAAATACAAGTAAATGGTTACTGTGTTAGGTAAAGGATATTAACTAATCCGGTAATCATTTTATGCTATATATGTAAATCAGATCGTCACACTGTACCTTAAATATATAAAATTTTATTTGTCAGTTATACATCAACAAAGCCACAGAGGGAGGAAAGTAGCCAGCAGGTGGAAGACCCATACCATACAGCAGAACAGCAAATCAGACCTTAGCAGCAGACTGCAGTCAGCAGAGAGCTCATGTGCCTTCCCTGTGCACAAAAGGGTCTCCGGGACATGTGTGACATAGAGAAAATGCTTGGGTTATGAATAAGAAAATGAATAAACAGGTATGCCAATGGTCTCATAAATGGAAGCGTTGAACACCTACTTATATAAAACTCTGCAGACATTTCTTACCCATGAGGACTTTGCTAGCTAAGAACCTAGCTCACTGATAGAGAGTTTGCCCAGTATAAACCCAAAGTCCTATGATCCCCGGTGTTTTTAAGATGACCAAAAGAAAAAAAAAAGAACTTTCTATTTCTGTAATGATGGGCCCCAGTCTAACAACAAGTCCATGGAGAATGTTTGATTCATAAGTAGATCTTCATCAGCTCACAAACTGATCTATGATCACTATCGCAAGAGACATTATTCCAGCCCCATCCTCTAATGTTAAGATGATGATTTAGCACAACACAATATTCCTTGTTACAATTGAGATCACCTGGAAGCCAGAATCTGAAAGAGAAAATAAATAAGGATAATTCACAATGATGCTTTGAAAAAGATTAGAGTCAGCAAGGGGTTGAAAGCTGGGAGGCAACTCTGTGGAAATCAAGGTTGGGTGTGCTCAGATTAACCCACCCCTATTTCTTATGCACTTTCTCCTTCACTCTGGCATTTCCCTTGAAAACTGACACCATAGCAAGCAATATTCTTACACCTTACTGTATACGTATCCACCAGGCAGATATCCCAAAGACTTACCTCTATTTAATCATTCCTATATCATGTCCCCAGGCTATCAATTTAAGATTTTTTTTTAGATTTATTTTATTTTTAATTATGTGGACATGTTGGGGGGGTGGGTATTTGTACATGAATTCAGGTGCCTGCAGAGGCCAGAAGAAGGCATCAGGTTCACTAGAGCTGCAGTAACAAGTGGTTGTGAGCCATTGGATATTGGGGGCAAGGAACCGAACTCATGTCCTCTACAAGAGCATCAAGTGCTCTTAACCACTGAGCCAGCCCCTTAACATGCTTTCTTATATGATGGAAATACTTCATGTTGGTCCATGTATTAATAGCTTTATCTCTTTTTTGATGGAATTGTTTTGAATCTGAAGAACTAATTAAAACATCTAGATAGTCTACTTATTCCTGTTACCTTGTCAAGTAATTTAAATTCCATGAGTCTCAGCTTCCTATCTTAAAACTGGGGACTAAAATAACATCACTACGTATTTCACTCTGTAGACATGAGAACTACCAAAAAATAATATTTTTTAAAGATGTACATTAAAAAGAGATATTATAAGGCCTTTGGGACTGAAGACATTTTGGTTTTGAGAAATATCAAATTTTAATAATCAGTTATGATCTTAACTTGAATTTTTATTGTAAAGATATAGTTTAAGAGCACCATAGACCCCACCTGGTTGGGTAACTTAGATTAATTGTTGAGACTCTTCGAATTCTGTTTCCTCCTATCGATAAGAAAAAATGGTAATATGTGCCTCATAATATGTGGTTAAGTAAATTAATAAAAATTTTTAACTCTGCACCCAACAGATAAAGCAAGAATGGGCCATTTGGCTTCATAACCAACAACTGGAACACCCTAAATTCTTTGTATTCTGCAGGTCCCAAGAGTCCTCTATCTAAGTCTATACTCACGTGGCATTTGAGTTGTATGGTGTCTGATCAACCCATTGCCATTGTCCCTGACCCTCTGGATCCGATAGCCCCACATAATAAGCAGCGTGAGTGTCCAGGTTCATGGTGATGAAGTCCTAAGGGGGAAAAGGAGAAAGACCATTCAGCACGAACTGAATTTTATTTTGTTTTTAGGTTTTTGATTTTCTCTTTTATACTTTCATCTATACAAATTTATGAGGATGGCGTGATGATTCAACACACATTTACAATGTAGATGATAAAACCAGATTCTTTAATATTTCAATCTTTTGAAACAATTTTTTCAATTTTTTGTTAAAATGTGATAAAGGTACATTTTTGTGGGCACAGGGTGATATTTCATCTGAGTTCTTTTATGTTTTATATTTTGTTGTGTTGTTGTTGTTCTGTTTTTGAGACAGGGACTCACTATGTAGCATTGGCTGGTCTAGAACTTTCTATGTAGACCTGACTGGCATCAAACTCACAGAGATTCACCTGCCTTTGCTCCCAAGTGCTGGGATTAAAGGCGTGTGCCACCACGCCCGGCCCATCTGGGTTCTGAGTTCACACAGATGTAAGAAAAGGAGATGGGCGTGGTAGCCCACGCCTTTAATCCCAGCACTCGGGAGGCAGAGGCAGGCAGATCTCTGTGAGTTAAAGGCCAGCTGGGACTACAGGGAGACCCTGTCTCAAAAAAAGACCAAAAAGAGAAGAAAAAGAAAGAGAAGGAGGAAGAGGAGGAGAAGGAGGAGGAAGAGGAAGAGGAGGAGGAGGAGGATCTAAGATTTTTCATGTGAGGTGGCCCATTTCTGTTACATATGGAAGCAAATTCTACCAACAATCATAAGGAATTATCTCAGACTCACTTCCCCTCTTCACTAAGAGATGGAATTCTTCAAATTTGTGCATGAGAGGGAATGTGCAGATTGAATCATTTTCTTTCATCACTTCAAAGATTCTTTACTTTCCTTCCTGGTTGTTGCTCATGAAGCATTAGCATATTGAAATAACAAACTGGTATTTCAGGCAGAAACATTTTCTTCCTTCAACCCTTTCAGGCCGTTTAGTTTTACTGAAGTGGGAACCGGTTATGGAATGTAAAGGTTCAGGCTGTGTTTCCTGGCTATCTTATGAAAGGCTTCTGCCATAGCACCAATACCCAAATCAATAAACCTTCCTTCTTAGTAAAGGGAGATGAACACAGCACAGGCAGGATTCGGGACCCCACAGAAAGCACCCACCTGCTCTTCCTTGCTGCAGATCACCAGCAGGTGAGCCCCCATGCTGGCACAGTTCTCCTCACTCTCACTCCAAGACTTTGAGCCAGTTGAAATGAAGTAGCAATGGAAATTAAGTGGCTTCCAATTCTTTAGGCAACAGCTCCAGACTTTGTGTTTGTTGGAAAGAAGGACATACAAGTGCAAAATATAATGTTTATTATATTTATTATATTATAAGACCCAGATTTGGGGACATAATACAAAAAAAAATCAGGGCTCAGAAGAAAATAACTCATCATACCAAGAACCAGAAGTTCTCAAACAATTTAAAGAAATGATAAGCTGCCAAGAAGCAAGATAACCAGCCCCCCAAGGCTCAAAGAACATCGCTGAAGAGGGGGCCGAAAGAATTTAAGAGCCAAAGGATGGAAAGAAGAGTAGTGACTCCCTCTCTCTGACATGACATGGCTGTTGCACCCATGAACTCACAGCAGTGGTAGTTACCTGCACCACACCTGCACAAGATGGAGTCCATCAACATTCCTCCATAGATAGGGGAGGGGTCATAAGTCCCTACCCTTCCCTGAACAATGACGGAGTTAAAAGCTGAAAGGGGAGGGGAGTCATTTTCTTCAGTGGTGTAGCCACTGGCACATTTTCCTCATTCAAGTAAATAACCCCACTCATGTTCTAGCAAGAAACCCTAACTGCAGTGAGTGGATCACACACAAAAAAGCCACGAAACTGGGGGCGGGGAGGTTGGGGTGAAGAAGGGATTTGGTGGGAGGGTAAGGGGACAAGAGAGGATGATGTGGGAACCTTTAATCAAAAAACATTATACACACACACACACACACACACACACACATAAAATGTAAAGAAATACATTTCTAAAAGAAGCAAGATAATAAAAGTGTTACAATTGTCTAAGCTGGGTATAGTGGTGCACACCTTTAGTCCCAGCACTCAGGAAGCAGAGGCAGGCAGATCTCTGTGAGTTCGAGGCCAGCCTGTTCTCCAAGCTGGGGCTACAGGGAGACCCCATCTCAAAAAAGACCCCCCCAAAAATTTATGTCCTATACAATTGTACACTTGTAGCATAAAATGGTCATGAGACTCCACTTCTTAGTGTGAGATCCTGGGGATCATACTGGAAGCATCTGTACAGGATGCTTACACTCTACAGTCAGCAACCAAATTCTAGGCAAATCAAATTTTACCTTCCATAGGTGAATGGTTTTTTATGCATTCCAACTTTGTGTAATTCAGTTGTTTTATAGTATTTTTTTCCTCAAGAAGATCAGAATACATTCGAAACAGAACTGAAAAAAAAAAGAATAAAAGCCATTCATCTTCCCGGTAGCGTTATAACTTTGCTCTTTAATCAGTTTGTTTGTGGCAGTCTTGCTATGCAGCCCAGACTGGTCTCAAATTCATAATCCTCCTGCCTCCACCTCCAGAGCACTGGAGTTATGCGTGTGCTACCTCGCATGGCTCTTTATTGTTACTTTCCTGCATTCTTAATAGAAGCAAAGTCTACAATTGTCCAAGTACCCGGGGAGACAGAGCCTGGTAAGTGAAGATTTCACATCGTCCCAGGGTCAATCAAATCTCAGACCTCCTGAATTGAAACCACAGAGACCTCTGGGAATTGCTGAAACGTCAGCAGTTGAAAGAGGATGTGACAGATCCAGCACCATGGTCTAAAGAGATTCATCCACCACCTTCATCATCACTTAATGCAAGAAGCATAGAAAAACTACATCTTGGGGAAGGTAGAGTGGAATTAGTGGTTGAGTTAAGGATAACGAGGCTGAGGCTTTGAAGGAGCATTGGTTAATTCTGTATAGTTGTGGATTATCTTGCAGAACGGAAAACAAAAAAAGAACCCAACATTGCTCAAAGAGACATTGTTTTCTTCATCTTCTTTCTTTAACTCTCTTCAGCCCAACTAGTTCTTACTCTTCATGGCACCAAGACTTTCATGGTACTCTCAACTTAAAACTAATTCATGGGGCTGGAGAGGTGGCTCAGGGGTTAGACTGCTCTTTCAGAGGACCCAGGTTCAGTTCTCAGCAACCACATGGCAGCTAACAACCTTCTGAAACTTCAGTTCCAGGGAATCCGATGCCCTCTTCTGTCCTCCACAGGCATTGCATGCAAGTGGTGTACTCGCATGCAGGCAAAACACTCAAACACATAAAATTAAAATAAAATAAAAATTAACTCACTTTAGCCTCTAGAATCTGAATTTTCTCTCTTTTCTCCTTATGTCTTATTTGCTCCTTGACCCACTACATTCTGACTTTTCTTTTTACTATTTCACTGAAACCATCCTTGAGCCAAGCATGATGGTGCATACCTATCATGCAAACACTGGGGAGGTAGAGGCGAGAGGACTGAGTTCCAGAACAGCCTGGGCTACAAAATGAGACACTATTGAGAGAAATCATTGAAATGGATCATCAGTAATATCCCAGGACCACTTACTACTCATGTTAGTACTAGGCTTTTTTTTTTTTTTTTTTTGAGTACTAGACTTCTTACAATAATTGACTCCTATTCTCTTCCTCCTTAGCTCCTGGGACTCTGCTGTTTCCCGGTTTTCCTCAGCTTACTTGCTGGGTGATGTCACGTCTCCCCTGCTACCTGTATGAGAAGGAACTGAAAGCCTCAGACCTTCCTCCTGAAGTCCAGACAAGTACATCTCTCACTAAGAACATTTGAGGTTCAACTCAGCATGCCCAAAACTCAAGTCAACATCTTCGAACCTAAACCTGTAGCCCATCCTATGTTGTCTACCGCTTTGGATACCTCCATGTGTCCTGATTCTACCAAATCAGAATATAAGAGCCACACTTTACTTCTCTGCATCCTTAATTCCCAGATCTCAGTATTCACCGAGCCTCTGCCCCCTTGCTTCTATCTCTCTTACCAACCAAAGCTATCTTCTTCTCACTAACACTGTTAGATTATATATTAGATTAGGCTCTGATTACTTGACAATGGTATTGTGAATTACATTTCTACCTTTTTCTTTACTTCCAGTTTTCTCCTCATGATTCCACTTTCACATCTCTTTGAACGCATACTTCTGCAAGTCTAATTTGACAGTATCAATTCCCTGCTTAAAATTCTTCAATAGCTCTTCCTAACTATGAATCCATGCTTCTTGTATCCATGCCCCCTTTGTAATGTGACTTTGAAGCTCTCCAATAAAAAAATGGGGTCTAGGGGACTGGAGAGATGCTTTAGTGGTTAAGAGAGCTTAGTGCTCTTGCAGAGGAGCTGGGTTCAGTTCCCAGAACCCACATCAGGCAGCTCACAACTACCTGTAACTCCTGTTCCAGAAGACCCAACACCCGCTGACCTCTTTGGGCACCTACATGAATGTGTCTCACATAAATTTACACACACACACACACACACACATACACACACACACACACACACACTAAAATAAATATCTAAAAATTTTAATGGGTTTTGTTCTGCCATCACTTTAATGTAGGCTGTGCTTAAGACTTCCTCTGGCCAATAGATTATTCAAAAGCAACTCTGGATATTTCCAAGTTGAGACTTCAAGAGGTTTGGCTGGTTTTCACTCTTAGTCTTGGTGCTCTAAGTTGTCACATGAACAAGCACGGGCTGTCCTGATGAATGACAGAACTGTGGCCGTATTGTCCCTGAAATTCCAGGTGAGTCTCTTCTTCAACCCACATTCAGATGATGGAGAAATAGACACCATTTTTTTGATTGGAGAAGCATCGAAATCAGGCCTAGTACCTGACCACAGATGAATGGATGGCTGAGTTCCACAGGACTACAGGAGATGCCAAGCCAGGAGAGCCTGAGATAAATAAACAGCTATCTTAATCTACCAAACTTTAGAACTATTATTAAGAAGAAAAGATACTTGAAAAAAAAATGTTGGTGGAAAAAAATACAAATGCGTTTTTTGTTTTGGAAACAGGGTTTCACTATGTAGTCCAAGCTGTCCTTTAACATGCTGTGTAACCCAGGTTAGTTTAGAATTCACAATCCTCCTGCTTCCATCTCCCAAGTTCTGGGATTACAGATATGCAACATGATGCCTAGCTAGCCCATATTCCTTATATTGGTACACAGAACTTTCCATACAACTCTGAGTCCTGTTTGTGTCTCTGACCTATAGTTGCATCTCTTTTTCACTGAGCACTATGTTTTCCAGACATGCACATTTATATTTCCCCATAGTTCCCCGTGTTCTCATGTCTGTGACACTGGTGGCACATGCAGGTCTAGATGTCATCTCCTCCAAACCCATACCCTCTGCTTACTTCTTACCAGCACAACACCTCTCATACAACTGAATAAGCATGGGGTCACTTAACTATTCACTAAATTTGTTGAGACCAGGGCCTGTAGCCCTTTCCAGACCCTCTGACACACTGCCTAGCATACAGTAAATGAAAATTACTAATTATTGAATGAGTGAATAGAATGCCTACATGAAAATATGCTAGCTTTACGCTTTTAATTTTTTCATAAATTCTGAAAGTCACCCTAAAAAGAAATCACCTATTTCCTAAATTAAGTTTTAGTTCTCACAGTCTGGAGAAGGAACAAAATAATTGGAAGGAAACTGATTGAAGAACTCTTCCTCAGCTAATTCATTCCATCTCTTCCTGTCCTCCTACTCCAAAATAAAGGTGTCTGTGTGCTCCACTAAGGCTGGCGTCTAAATGCCACTAAGGAAAGACAGACTTGTCTTGGGCACTCAGAGTCTAGTATAGAGCTATCCCACAGATACAACAAATACACACGTTTATTTTTATGAAGAGTAATTCTGAAACAGAGAAACTCTCAAAAGATTACATCTCACATGGTATACATTGCATCTCCTCAAAGAAAATTCCTTTTCAGGTTTCTTGGAAAATCTTTGACAGTTACCTATTCGCAATGGGTGCCTCTCCTCATGCAATGCAGACCTTGTGAATTTAGCATACTTACTGACAAGAGCAACAGAAAATAAGATTGCCAATAACAGGAAAAATATCATCAACAGGGCAAGAAGCAGCGTGGGGAAACCAGGATTACTTTTGTGGAGGATCTTCTTTTTAGGAGTTAAAAGAGAAACCACACTAGTTAAATCTAATGAATTCTGTCATTTCCTCTCCCTCACCATCTTCTCCCTTTTCTACCATGACAAACTTAATATTGTGGACTATTGAAATAATGTAACAATAGGATAGGACAGAAACAAGGATGCCCATTGTAGACACAGTACAGAATACATGACACACAAGTTTCTACTGTTGACAATAGCTTTCTGGTACTTTGGATGCATCGTTTCATCAAGTTTTAAAGCATTTATACATGCATGCACATTTTCAACAGGATTAATATCATTGCTCATTTCTGGCCTGCTGTTTTCTTTCACATTGTATAGTGAACATTTTTCCTAACACCATATTGTCCACTTTAACGTTCTGTATTATGGCTACATAGTCCTTTATTGTATATTTAAATGATCTTTCAAACTGTTTCCAATATGACTTTCAAGTATATTAAAACAGATACATCTGGGCTGGAGAGATGGCTCAGCAGTTAAGAGCACTGAGTGCTCTTAGAGAAGAACCAGGTTTGATTCCCAGCACCCACATGGCGGCTATGAACCGTCCTTAACTCCAGTTCCAGGGGAATCCAAAGCCTTCTTCTGACCTCCGCGGCATTGCATGACACGAGTACACTCACATACATGTAGGCAATACACTCATACACATAAAATAAAAATAGTAAAAAAATACAAAGTCATCTCTTAAAGTTATGATACACTGTCAACTAGAGAGAAAAATAAGAACACCAGTATTATACAACATGATTCTATTTCTGAAGAAATAGATGTATTCTTAAGTATATTTGTGTCAAAAATATGCAACAAAATCAAAATATGATTTTCTCTAAATAGCAAGCATAAAGACACTATCATGAAATCTTTTCTTTCCCACTATATAAGGCAATGAATGCTTAAAGCTTTTCATAGGCAATTCAATCAGCTGAGACTCCTGTCTCCCACACAGCCATTCAGACAACAGACAACAAAGACCACCCAGGCCTTGTTCATAAGCACCCTGTTCATCATTAACTCGGGCCCTCAGAAAGTGCTTTGTTGTTGGGGGCGGGGGGGGGCGGGGACAGCAGTTACCTGTAGATGAATCTGAGTTGGTGCCTGATTCATTTTTGAAGTTCACTTCAGTGTAAATGTTTTCTAGAGCCATGTTGAGAAGAGACCTACTTTCTTCAGGAAACCTATGTCATTCTTTCCTTAAACAAGAAAGAAGCATGATGGCAGATTATCCTGTCATCGACTAGATGATGCTGAGTCCAGAACAGACAAGTACAGCTGAGAGAATAGTAGAATTCAAAACCACAGAGTAAAACTTGGACACACACAGCGGTCCAATCCTGAAAATTACAGACTTGAACTTACTCAGCAAGGATATGCAAATACTCTAAAGTAAGGACTCAAACGGGGAGCAAAAGAAATAGGAAGGAAAGGAAAAGAGGAACCAGGCCACTAGAAAAGCCTGTTCTCCGACCTGTACTCTACACTGTACAGCTGTACCAAGCTGCTTCATGAAGAGTTAATACATCTTGTGACTTGCTGCATTCCCCCCCTTTCGGTTTACAAATCATATCCTTTAGGGTATGATGAGAGCATTCAATGATAGCCTGTCCTTGAGGATTGTATGGGATCCCTCTAATATTACTGATATTCCAAAAAGTAAAAATTCTCCTGCTAATGGAGTAGCCCATTGAAACCCTGAAAATGTATCAATTGAAACATGTGCATAAGAACTTTTTCCAAAACTAGATATGTGAGCAGCACCCATTTGCCAGATTTCATTAGAATGAAATGAATTTAGGATTTACCCCAGCTGGAAAAGGTATATCACATAGGCTGAGCATTATGGACACTTTTTATGTACATCAGTAGCTTATCGTTTCATAACAGAGAAACATTCCTGTAAATCTTTTCGATTTATATGAGTTCGGAAATGATACTTTTATGCTTCAATTACATTTGCTATAAGTAATTGATCTGTGGAGTCATTATTTTAACCCTAGGATCAGGTAACAGCATGAGTTCTAATATGAGTGATATAAATAGGAAGATGTTCTACTTCATTTCTTCATTGCTGTGACAAAACACTCTGACCACTACCAACTTGGGGAGGAAAGGGTTTATTCAGCTTACATCTCCCAGGTTGTAGTTCATCAGGGAGCCCAAGGTAGGAACATAGGGCAGGAACCTGGAAGCAGGAGCTGGAGCACAGGCCATGGAGGAACACTGCTTACTGGCTTGCTCCCTGGACCCCTGTTCAGTCCACTTTCTTATGCAACACAGGCCCACCTGCCCAGGGGTGGCACCACCCACAGTGGTCTGGGCCCTCCCACATCACTCATCAAGAAGATGCCCCTCAGACATGGCCACAGGCCAGTCCAATGGAGGCAATTTCCCAACTGAGGCTCCCTCAACCCAGGTGTGTCAAGTTGACACTAAAGCTATCCAGCACAATGTCTGTGTTGTATTGTTTTGTAATTCTATATAACTGATTAATTTGTTTGATCTTGAGGAATGTATACAGTTTCAATGTGTTTAACTGTAAATTCAGTATACTGAAAATCAGTAACAATATGTAAAGGGTCTTTTACATCTTTTGACAGCATTATTACAATGAAAATCTCAGTATTTTGAACAGAAGTGTATTTAGTTTGTATTACCTTTTGAGTTTGTCCTAAGTATACAGCTTTACCATCTTTGTCAGTGTAATAGGTATCAGCATTTTTCAAAGGAGCAGTTTTTACTACAAGATCCATTCTGTTCTTTAGGATAGTGCTTACGTATTTTCCTACATAATATGCTAAACTTCTTTGCCAGTATTCATTAAAATGCCAATTATTACAAATGTGGGTGGCATTAAAAGGTACTACAACCTCCTCAGGACCATATTCAGTTAAAGCACATGTGCAGAGTCTTCCTCAAGAGATGACTTTTAATTTTTTTCATTTTCTTTTTTTTCTACTTTTTTTAATTGATTTTTTTTTTGTATTTCATACAGAACATCCCAAACAATCTTTATACCTGCATTCCAAATGACACCCTCCCATAGACCCCCCCCCAACTGGAGCCCATATATTCTGTCATGCCCACTGTGTTGTCAGTGCCCCCAGCTGGTCCCCAGTGTAAGTCCATCTGCTGAGTCTAGTCAGCCTATTTAGAGTCCCTTGTTTTAGGAAGGTCAGCTGTTCTTCATCTAGCAGCAATCAGTTGTCAATATTCCTTTAGATAAGATTGGGGTCTGCTGTTCATTTTCCCATTTCTATGCTGGGTTACTATCTGGGACCCTCTTTGGCCACCCTGGCCAACAACTCAAAAGAAGGTATCTCCTGTCTGGCATTGTTTCTTGTTATGTAGTCTTTAGCTATACACATGGACTCTTTTTTTAAATATTTTATTTATTATTTTTATTTTATGTGTATGTGTATATTGCCTGCATGTAAATAAGTGCACCTGTGTCATAGATAGGATTGGGGTCTGCTGTTGATTTTCCCAGTTCTGTGCTGGATTACTGTCTGGGAGTCTCTTGGGATACCCTGGCCAATAACTCAAAGGAAGGTATCTCCTGTCTGGCATTGTCTCTTGTTATGTAGCCTTTAGGTATACTCATGGACTCTTAAAGAAATATACTGATCACTTTAATCTTTGGTTATACTTTCCTTTTGGCTGTTTAAGACCATACAGTTGGCCCAAATAAACCAATTTATTTTTACTTTTAAGGTCATTTGAGGATCTGTTCCTCAGGGGTCACATGGGCTTGGGAGGAGCCCTTGGCTCCTTTCTTTTACTAGTTCCATCTATGTGAAGATAAGTCAAAGGTCCTACTCGACTGTGGCTCACTTCACTTGGAAGCATGGAGGAAATGATTCCTCTGTGTTGACCCTCCTCTTTAAAGACTGGACACTGATTCAAGTTCATCTCATGGGGTCTCCATGGCCTCCCTGAACAAGAGGACAGGTGACTCACCATCATTACGGGACATCTTGAGGGATGCTCCATAGTCCCCTAGAACTTAGTTGACCTTGGAAGGCAAGGAGCAAAAACTGTCCTTTAGGTCCCTCCGACCAGATCAGTGTAGGCCTCAAAGTATGGCTGTTAAACATCTAAGAAGGTTAGTTCCATCTGATACTTTTAATTACTATGTGCTATGTAGATAAAGCTTGGACATAAACCAAATGTTCTCTGCATGTATAAAATTCTCAATAAATTATTTATTTAAAAAATAAAATAAAATAAAAAAGCTAAACGTTCTCAGATAAACCTTGACTAGACATATAGTTTGTTCCTTGAACTAGTTGTGTGTACAATTTGTCAGTAGATGGTTGGATTAATATGGTTCCCTCTGGTTTTTTAAAACTAGCTAGGCATTATCTATCTCTCTTGTTGTCTAACCCTTCCACCATGGTTTCTGTTCTAAATTTTCCCCTTCCCACTCTCTGTTTTATGATCCTGACGCAGATCGACAAACTGGCATAACACATTTTTTATCTGAATTTTGCATAGTTTATACATTTGGGAGGGGACGACTTACAAAGAAACAGCTTCTCATAATCCTGTGTCTTTCAAGGCCTGCCCACAGTCTCCATTAGCTTTTGCCCAAGGCGTGCAGTCTCACCCCACAGTCTGTAGGTGTCCCATCTCGCATCCGTGCCCCACGGGATGCCTCCACTCTTCACCCCGGTGGCCACACACTTTTCCTTTTCGGTTCCAATCTCATCACCACGCTAACGCTACATCTCTCTGTGGCTGGGCTCCACTGCTCTTTCCAGGGTGCCCCGTGCTCTTGCCCACACTTTTCAGAGGAATGAGTAATTTCCGGGCTACAGTTTCCCCATTTAAAGTGCCCCCATTTTCCCCACTTCTCCCTTAATGATACCTTTCTCCTACAGTTCCACTTCTCTTGAGCTCCTTCTTTCCCTTTATCCCCAAGTTTCCTTGTATAACTCTCCCTCTCCCTCCCATTTAAATAATCCCATTTTTATCCATTTCTACCCTAGTAACACCTGTTTCCTACTGTTCTTCTCTCTCAGGTTCTTTCTTTCCTTTAAGTTTCTTTTCATTATCCTGGTTCATCTAGTTATGTCTGAATGCATACTCACTTATAAGGGTTTGGTTCTAGGATCCACATATGAGGGAGAACATGTCAATTTTTTTCTAAGTCTGTGTTACTTAGTATAAGTTTCTAGTTCCATCAATTTACTACCTGCAAATTTCAGGATTTCATCTTTCTTTACTGCTGAATAAAACTCCATCATATAAATGTGCCACATTTGCATTTTCTACTCATCAGTTGGACATTTATGTTGCTTCCATCTCTTAGTTACTGTGAAAAGAGCAGCAACAAACATGGATGTACAAGTGTCTCTGCAATAGGATGAATTCTTTGGGTATAAGCCAATGAGTGGTATAACTGGGTTAAATGGTAGGTTCATTTGTAGTTTTTTAAGAGTTCTCCACACTGCTTTCCATAGGGGCTGAACCAGTTTGCAATCCTACCAGCAGTGGATGAGTGTTCCCCTTTCCCCACATCCCCTCCAACATTTGGTATCATTTGTTCTCTTGATCTTAGCCAGTCTGACTGGGGTAAGATGAAATCTTAAAGTGGTTTTAATTTGCATTTCCCTGATTATTAGTGATGTTGAACATCTTTTAAGATGTTTCATAGCCGTCTTTATTTCTTCTTTTGAGAACTCTCTGTTCAGCTCCTTAGCCCATCTTTTAATAGGGTTACTTCTTTTCTTGATTCTTTGTTTTTTGAGTTTTTATATAGTTTGGATGCTAAACCTCTGTCAGATGTGTTGCTGGTCAAGATTTTCTCCCACTCTGTGGTTTTCTCTTCACTTCCTCAGTAGCTTCCTTTGATGTACAGAAGCTTCTTAGTTTAATGAGGTCCCATTTGTTGATTGTTGACCTTGTTTCCTGAGCAACTGATGTCCAGTTTAAAAAATCCTTCCCTAAACCTATATCTTGTAGGTTTTTGCCAGTGTTTTCTTCTAACAGTTTCAGAGTTTCAGGCTTTACATTTGATCCATTTGGAATTGACTTTTGTACAAGGTGAAAGATAGGGGTTTAGTTTCATTCTTCTACAGGTGGAGATCTAGTTTTGCTAGCACCATTTGTTAAACATGCTGTCTTTCCTCCAGTGAATGTTCTTGGCCCTTTATCAAATATCAGGTGGCTGAAATTGCA